TATAACTCTAGAACATTTCTTTAAGAAAGTCCTGCCTGTTATTGCTACTGATCTGATCCAAATAGTAACTCATCGCTTACATCAGGCGTTTCTCCCCAGGCTTTGATAACAGCAGTTATCAAACCACTGCTAAAAAAGAATAATCTGGACAAATCACTATTGCAGAATAACAGGCCGATCTCCAATCTCCCATTCATCAGCAAAGTTATTGAAAAAACTGTGTAAACAATTAAATAGTTTCCTCATGATGACCAACTGCTTTCACTCTTTCCAATCTGGTTTCCATGGTTACCACAGCACGGAGACTGGCCTAGTCAAAGTATTCAATGATATCCATATAGAACAAAAATCTTTATTAATCCACAGGGAAATTGAGGTCGTCTGTCTGTAGCTCACAATAATTCATATCCACACAACATTAAAAATCTTTAAAACATACATGAAATAAAATAAATATAATAAATGCATCACCACTGGAAGACGTGTAGAAAGTGCTTCAATATGTTAGAATGCTAGTTGCCCCGCCTCCCTCTATTGCCCCTCCCAGAGGCAGCAGCATCATAGAGCCTGATGGACTGAAGGACAAAAGAGTTTTAATCCTCAGCTGAACAAACCAGTGAGACGAACCTTTTACTGAGGGACTGAACTGAGTTTAGACAATGTCCTCTAGGACTGAGTTTAGACAGTGTCCTCTAGGACTGAGTTTAGACAATGTCCTCTAGGACTGAGTTTAGACAGTGTCCTCTAGGACTGAGTTTAGACAGTGTCCTCTAGGACTGAGTTTAGACAATGTCCTCTAGGATTGAGTTTAGACAGTGTCCTCTAGGACTGAACTGAGTTTAGACAATGTCCTCTAGGACTGAGTTTAGACAGTGTCCTCTAGGACTGAGTTTAGACAATGTCCTCTAGGACTGAGTTTAGACAGTGTCCTCTAGGACTGAGTTTAGACAGTGTCCTCTAGGACTGAGTTTAGACAGTGTCCTCTAGGACTGAGTTTAGACAGTGTCCTCTGGGACTGAACCGAGTTTAGACAGTGTCCTCTAGGACTGAGTTTAGACAATGTCCTCTAGGACTGAGTTTAGACAGTGTCCTCTGGGACTGAACCGAGTTTAGACAGTGTCCTCTAGGACTGAGTTTAGACAATGTCCTCTAGGACTGAGTTTAGACAGTGTCCTCTAGGACTGAGTTTAGACAGTGTCCTCTAGGACTGAACCGAGTTTAGACAGTGTCCTCTAGGACTGAGTTTAGACAATGTCCTCTAGGACTGAGTTTAGACAGTGTCCTCTGGGACTGAACCGAGTTTAGACAGTGTCCCTCTGGGACTGAACCGAGTTTAGACAGTGTCCTCTAGGACTGAGTTTAGACAGTGTCCTCTAGGACTGAGTTTAGACAGTGTCCTCTAGGACTGAGTTTAGACAGTGTCCTCTAGGACTGAGTTTAGACAGTGTCCTCTGGGACTGAACCGAGTTTAGACAGTGTCCTCTAGGACTGGTTTAGACAATGTCCCTCTAGGACTGAGTTTAGACAGTGTCCTCTGGGACTGAACCGAGTTTAGACAGTGTCCTCTAGGACTGAGTTTTTAGACAATGTCCTCTAGGACTGAGTTTAGACAGTGTCCTCTAGGACTGAGTTTAGACAGTGTCCTCTAGGACTGAACCGAGTTTAGACAATGTCCTCTAGGACTGAGTTTAGACAGTGTCCTCTAGGACTGAACCGAGTTTAGACAGTGTCCTCTAGGACTGAGTTTAGACAGTGTCCTCTAGGACTGAACCGATTTAGACAGTGTCCTCTAGGACGAACTGAGTTTAGACAGTGTCCTCTAGGACTGAGTTTAGACAGTGTCCTCTGTTCCACCACCATCTCTGAACGGTGGTGGAACCTCGGTTCTGGTTCTGTTGGACCTCAGTGTCGACCAGGACATTTTACTGAATCGACTGTTTGAATCTTACATAAAGAAACGGGATTACTTTGTTTCAATTGGAAACGTGTCATCAAAGAGGTCAAAGGTCACATGCTCTTGCTCTATATAGTTCAACTATAGAGCAAGAGCTATAGATCTATAGCTATAGATATATATTTATAGATCTATAGCTATAGATCTATAGCTCTAGATCTATAGCTATAGATCTATAGCTATAGATCTAGAGCTATAGATCTAGAGTCAATGCACAGCTTCAGTTATTACAACTAAAAACTAGCGATCAGCCTGAAACCTGAGAGTAGTGAGACCTCTGACCTGAACCTTGCGAGCCACATAAAGACAGTTACAAAGTCGGCCTTCTATCACCTGAAGAACATCTCCAGGATTAGAGGACTAATGTCTCAGCCAGATCTAGAGAAACTCATCCATGCGTTTATCTTTAGTCGCATTGATTATTGCAACAGCGTCTTCACAGCCTGACCAACAAATCAATCCTCCAGCTGCAGCTGATCCAGAAGCAGCTGATCCAGAAGCTGCTGATCCAGAAGCTGCTGATCCAGAAGCTGCTGATCCAGAAGCAGCTGATCCAGAACCAGCTGATCCAGAACCAGCTGATCCAGAAGCAGCTGCTCCTGTTCTCACTAGAACCAGGAAGATAGAGACATAACAGCGTTTTAAAGTCCCTCCACTGGCTCCCTGTAGCTCAAAGAATAGATTTTAAAATACTGTTGTTAGTTTATAAATCACTGAACGGTTTAGCACCACAATACATCAAAGATCTGCTGTTGTTGTATCAACCTTCCAGACTCTCAGGTTCTGGTTCTGGTTCTGATCTGCATCCCCAGAACCAGAACCAAGAGAGGAGAAGCAGCTTTCAGCATCTATGCACCAAAACTTTGGAACAAACTTCCAGAAAACTGTAAAACAGCAGAAACCCTGACTTCCTTTAAATCTCGACTAAAACACACCTGATTAGAGTTTTTATTTGAAATGTAATATGGAACAATGTATTGTTTATTCCATGATACATGACTTGGTGTTAGGGTTAAACACCTATAAAACACATATTAACAATGACAGGAAAGACTAGAGAGTTAGATTCTTTTTCACTCACGAGGAGAACAGACAGAGATGTGCTTCAGTTACATCTCCTGCCGCTCTGAAGCACATTTGTCTGCTCCTCTCTTTTTATTGTTTTCAGGATCCCTAATCACAAAAACGCTGTAGCTCTAAAGAGAGGAAACAACTCATTACACAGCTACAGCGCCAAACGTCATTCACTAAGTAACGCAATCATTCTGCACTAGTTAATCTCCTTCCAGAAACAGTTAAACAGAATATTTAGTCAACCTTCACAGTGACAGCAACTCAAATGAAGCAGAGCTCTTCACCAACCCTGCAGGAAGACTGTTGTCTCTGCTTTTCATCAGTGAGAACTTCTGAGAAACTCAGAAAAAATCAGAGTAAATCAATAATAATGGAAACATTCTTTTTTTTTTTTTTTATTTAGAAAGATAAATTTCGATCACATACAATAATTATATTGTTACTCATTTGAAGTCGTACATGAGGTGACAGCATGGAATCCAGGTGGTTTTGTCCATATCGCCTTTCTGGTGTTTTTTAACAGTCTTAGTTTAAACGATAACAAGTTTGAACAAAATTGAACACAACAAACACAAAAAACAAACCCGAATAGACTAAGTAAATAAAAATAAATAAACAAAAAATGGGGATCGCACCACTTCAAGCAATAGAAGATCTCAAGAATATAGAAGGGCTGTACATATAAATCACAAGAACAATCAAGTGAAGTCTGATCTGACTGGGTTTACATACTCAGTCCATTTGGTCCAGATCTTGTAAAATTTACCTTTTTCAAGTTGGAGGGAGAAAGAAATCCTTTCCATAGCATAAATCCGATAACAATTTCAATCCGTTCATGGATAGTAGGGGGGTCCGGTTTCAGCCTTTTCCTGGTGATGCATTTCTTACTGGCTGCCAGTAGGACAGCCAGCAGCTTTTTGTCTGGATTGGTCCAATTGTCCAACTGCAAGTTACCCAGATACATCGTTTCACATTTAAATGGTATGTTCACATGAAATATGTTTTCAATGTGTTTATGGAGCTCTTCCCAATATGGTCTTATTACCTGGCAGTCCCAAAACATATGGAAGTGATGGGCACCATTAGACCCTCAGAGTCTCCAGCTGGTGGCGCCGTTGCTTTGACATCTTCTCTGAATGGTGTAACAAAAACTCCCGCCATGAATTCGATCCAGTCCAGATCCACTGCAGTTGACATATTTCCTCCCATCCTCTTGATCTCATTCTTAATTCTATAATGAGATCAATTAATAACAGCATAGAAGAAAGATAATACTATTAGATTAGATGAGAATAACAAATATTTGATGAATAATATCACAATTTCTCCAACACTTTGTGTTTTTGTGTTTATGATGTAAAGGATTTTGAAATGCCTTGCTGCTGAAACGAGCTTTAAAATAAAATTTGATTTGATAATGACAAGGAAATTGTGACTAAAAAAAACAATTCAGCTCCAGTGAGGGGCCCCTTGGTGGCCGTGGACAAGAGGACAGCCTGTCTCACTGCGCTGTAACTATGACGTCGTTCTGACCTTCAGGCTCCTGTTTGTCCTCCAGAAACAACTTGGTTTCTGATCCTGGATCAGCAGCATCGTCTTCACTGAGCCCACCATCGATTCTGCTTTCTGTAAGTTTCTCACCAATAACTGCCTGTAAATATTGATGAGTTTGATTATTAATAATTTGATTCAAGTTGTTTTTACCCTGATGGAGACAAATCACAGCAGGGGGCTTTTATCCAGTGACTATCAGATGCATCTCTTCTCCAGTAAAACTGAGCCTGAAAACCTTCATCAGGAGGTTTAATTTATCGTTGATGTGATTCAGGCCCATTGGAGCCTCCGGTTGTTACAGGACGCTGGTTCTTTTGGGCGACTTTTCTTCTTCTGCAGCTGGACATTTCAGCAAAAAGCTCTGCAGCATCTGGTGGTTCATGTAGGACAGATGAGTCTCTGATCAGGTTCAGAACATCGACTCATCCTCACACACATTCAGAGAAAATCTGCTGACAATATCCAGTAGATCCAGTAGATCCAGTAGAACCAGTTCCTCCTGAACATCTGCCCAGCTGCTGAAGCCTCGTCTCCTCTCTGCTGGACTCCACCTCTCCTCTCCACCAGAGGGCGCCATGCTCCAGTAGGCGGCGCTCTCCTTGTGCTCTGTGCTCCAGCATTGTGTCAATAAGAAGTGGTGCTGTGAAGAGAACAATAGTCAGACTGAATGTTGAACATCAGCTGCTTTCTCCTGCTGATTTAAACCTTGTTGGACAGATGGAACATTGGCTGTGGATTATTCTGGCTGCTCTTTTCTCTGGTAAGATACAAAGATGTTTCCTCTACATGGAGTCTTTAAAGCTGCTGATTGTTCTCCTTTAATCAATCATCTTTATTGATCCGTCTCTTCCTCTGCATGTTCTGTTCTTCCCAGAGTGTAAAGGAGACTCAGTGAAGCAGACAGGAGGAGAAGTTGCTGCTGCAGCAGGAGAATCACTGACTCTGGGATGTACCTTTAAACCCAGTGGAGGAACTGATGCCTTGTTCTGGTACAAACAAGAAGAAAACAGTTTCCCAAAGTACATGCTTAAGCAATACTTCACAACGAGAGATAAAGCTCCAGAGTTCAACAACAACAGATTCAATGCAGAAATCAACGACAAGACATTCAACCTGACGATCCAGGATCTCCGTCTGACAGACTCTGCTGTGTACTACTGCGCTCTGCAGCCCACAGTGACAGGAAACACCAGAACCCTGAACAAAAACCTGCAGTACTGCACAGCAGCCACTAGAGGGCCTCACTCCCTGTAATGTTTGTCAGGATTCTGTCTGTTTATAAAAATCTGAGATGTAAAGCTGCATCACTGCTTTTCAAACTAAAACGTATTTCCAAACCAACAAACTGATAATATGATGTGATTTTGGATTAACCTGTTATTGTTCATCTTTATCTAAATCTAATATCAAGATGAACATTTTCATAAATTCGCAGAAATCTTGCAGCCATATTTAATAAATAAAACTGCGGCAGTAACCTGATTGGATGTGATCAAGTCCTAATCTAATCCTGGTAAAGAGTGAAATATGTCAAGTTCAATACTGATTGTTACTTTATGTTAAAGTGAGAATAAAACAGAAAGTTTCTGCATCAATGAACTGATTGTGTTCAGAAATTTTGGATAAATAAAGGATGATGATGGAGCAGGGGCTGCAGTTTATGGCTGTTTAACTGAATCTGATTACATTGTTTTGTAAAAATGTATCAATCAATAAACTATATCATTGTTATATTATTGGCAGTTTCAAACCAACCGGCCATCTGCAGCAGAACAGTTAAAATAAAACTGTTTATCTACAAACTCTGTTAAGCTCACGTCTCAAATGTCTTTTTACATAATTGATAGTTCTGAAAGTTCAGAGGGAAAAACTTTAAATTTCCACCAGAGATCAGCTGAAGCTGAGAGGAAGAGGAGGAAGAGAGGAGGAGGAGGAGGAGGAGAGGAGGAGCTGATCTGATCCTGATCTCTAAAGAGACTCAAACTTCCTCCTTCAGTTCAGTTCAATTCTCCAACATCAACTCTGCTCATCATGGCCTATTATGTCTGTCTCTGCTCATCGCCTCTCTGCTAACAGGTCAGATTATAAATATGTGATAATCTTATTCTACACCTCATGATTGTGACTCAGTTTAGTTTGATAACTAACAGGTTTCTCTGCCTTCAGGTGTCGAGTCTCAACAACTATCAGAGGGCGGCTTCCGCTTCTCTGACTACACATTTTCTAAAGAAGCATCTGGAAGCGATGAGTTCTACTGGTATCGCCAACATGCAGGGAAACCTCCAGAGTTCCTGCTCTACCACCTGGGATCAGGAAAAATACTGAAGGAGAAACGGCTGGACTGGACATTGATGTGAAGGGAAGAAATATAAATCTGCTGATCTCCTCTGCTGCAGTGACAGACTCTGCTGTGTACTACTGCGCTGTGAGGCCCACAGTGACAGGAAACACCAGAACCCTGAACAAAACCTGCAGTGCTGCACAGCAGCCACTAGAGGGGCCTCACTCCCTGTTAAACCACTAAAACCTGCAGTACTGCACAGCAGCCACTAGAGGGCCTCACTCCCTGTTAAACCACTAAAACCTGCAGTACTGCACAGCAGCCACCAGAGGGCCTCACTCCCTGTTAAACCACTAAAACCTGCAGTACTGCACAGCAGCCACTAGAGGGCCTCACTCCCTGTTAAACCACTAAAACCTGCAGTACTGCACAGCAGCCACTAGAGGGCCTCACTCCCACTGGTTGTTGAGTCGTTGGACTGAAGACAAAGACAACAGACATGAAGCAGCAAAGAAGAGACGGAGCTGCTGAGGAAGCAGAAACTCTCTGATTGGTTGAGTTGTAGTGGCCCCGCCACTGACCTTCAGCTCCTCCAATCCTCTCCCTTGTTACCCATTTGCTGAGAGTTACCAGTGCTGCTCTGAAGCCTCCAACTGATCCAGGATTTGGTTTAGTGACAACTGACTTGACTTATGATCAATGTAAAAATCTAATTAAAGTAATCATTATATTTAATGTTTACGAAACATAAACATTAAACTTAATTGCATTTTAAAGTGATGCTCCTAATTAATTTATGTATCGTCTGCACATAAATCAACTTCCTGAACAGGGCATGAAGTGGATCAAACTGCAAGAGTAAAATTGTTTGGCCTCTGATATTCCAGCGTATTAGAGCTGAAAGATTAAAAAAGGAAGAAAAAACTCTTACATTTTGAGATTACTCCCAGAAAAGTTCTAAAACAGATTTCTGTGAGGATTTGGTCGTTCTGTGTTCATTTGGGTTTGTGTCGCCGTGTTGCCCCTCATTGATACCAGCTGTCTTGTTTCTTCGCCTTTATTGTCGTCGTCTGTGTTACTCCAGTTGCTACCAGTTCTGAGCTCCAAGCCTCCTGCCTTTATTCCCTTCATAAAAACCATCATCACTGTTCAGCAGCCTGAGTCCTCCGCTTCCATCCTACCATTACAACCGCAAATCAGGACAATTTATGAGTTTGGAGACAAAAGTTCTGACTCTGGAAACCCTAAGTTTCTGATATTTACAAAAATGTATAAAAATGTTTGACTTTTACATCAACATAATTTTTCTAGAATATTTTTGGTAGACTACTTTTAATGACTACCAAAGGCGTAAGACTCTAAAAACCTGGAGAAAATGTGAATATTGCTTAAATTAAATTATGTGCTCAAAAATAAATGTGGTAAAAAAATTATTTTAAAATTGTATCTTTTAGAAAATAATTTAAAATGCAAATAAAAACATAGCCTTATAATCCACAAATTAAATTGCCAGGTAGAAACTTGGCGATTTCTCTGATTCCCTCTAGGAGGCGCTGTTGGCCGTGGCGCTAAGATTAAGAATAGCTGCATGAGAAACACTGAAAATCCCATCACAGCAGGAGACAGAGAATTGATCAGAACAGAGCAAATTTAGACAGAAACACAACGATGTGGCGTCAAGTTGCTCAACCTGACCAATGAGAACGATGAAGACTCAGTTCTCATCATGAGATGGTGAGACGATTCCAGTATCTGTTTCTGTACAATCGTGTAAACTGACCTGAGATGTTTCCATCTATAGAAGGACGTATGAGAAGCCTTTCAGTCTGTATTTGGAACAAACCACAGAACTGAACCTGGATCAGTTAAACTTACCAATGATCCCGATGAGCTCGAGCTTCCTGGTTTTAGTCAGAGCGCCAGCAGCAGCGTAACTTCTAACAGTGACTTCGGTCTGATCCCACCAGCTGGTCTTGATCAAGAGTTTGATCACAGGCCAAACTTGCATGATGCGGCTTCCTGCAGTCGCTATGGTGTTCAACAGAATCCTGAGCTGCAGATCAGTCCAACATGTTGGTCTGAAGATTTTCTACTTCCTGAGGAAGAGGAGGAAGAGGAGGGAGAGGAGGAGAGGAGGAAGAGCAGGGAGAGGAGGAAGAGGAGGAAGAGGAGGAGGAAGAGGAGGAGGAGGAAGAGGAGGAAAAGGAGGAAGAGGAGGAGCTGATCTGATCCTGATCTCTAAAGAGACTCAAACTTCCTCCTTCAGTTCAGTTCAACTCTCCAACATCAACTCTGCTCATCATGGACTATTATGGTCTGTCTCTGCTCATCGCCTCTCTGCTAACAGGTCAGATTGGTTCGATGCGCTTTGAACTGTTAAGGTTTAAATGTTTCCCTATAAAAACCGTTGAAACTTAAAGACGGAAAAATATTTTTCTTTAAGGTGTCGGCTGTGATCAACTTACTCCTCTTGACGAGGAAATCTTCAGATTAGACGACAACTCTGCTAAAATCGCCTATAAATATTCAAAACAAGCCAACTGATTATTTCTTCTGGTATCGTCAATATCCTGGAAAACCTCCACAGTTCCTGATCTCCCACTCAGGAACAGGAACACAAACATCTCAGCCGTTTCCTGGTTTCTACTTCAACATGAATGATGATAAAACCCAGATGGATCTGCTGATCTCCTCTGCAGTGACAGACTCTGCTGTGTACTACTGCGCTGTGAGGCCCACAGTGACAGGAAACACCAGAACCCTGAACAAAAACCTGCAGTACTGCACAGCGGCCACTAGAGGGCCTCACTCCCTGTTAACCCACTAAAACCTGCAGTACTGCACAGCAGCCACTAGAGGGCCTCACTCCCTGTTAACCCACTAAAACCTGCAGTACTGCACAGCAGCCACTAGAGGGCCTCACTCCCTGTTAATCCACAAAAACCTGCAGTACTGCACAGCAGCCACTAGAGGGCGCCATGCTCCAGTAGGCGGCGCTCTCCTTGTGCTCTGTGCTCCAGCATTGTGTCAATAAGAAGTGGTGCTGTGAAGAGAACAATAGTCAGACTGAATGTTGAACATCAGCTGCTTTCTCCTGCTGATTTAAACCTTGTTGGACAGATGGAACATTGGCTGTGGATTATTCTGGCTGCTCTTTTCTCTGGTAAGATACAAAGATGTTTCCTCTACATGGAGTCTTTAAAGCTGCTGATTGTTCTCCTTTAATCAATCATCTTTATTGATCCGTCTCTTCCTCTGCATGTTCTGTTCTTCCCAGAGTGTAAAGGAGACTCAGTGAAGCAGACAGGAGGAGAAGTTGCTGCTGCAGCAGGAGAATCACTGACTCTGGGATGTACCTTTAAACCCAGTGGAGGAACTGATGCCTTGTTCTGGTACAAACAAGAAGAAAACAGTTTCCCAAAGTACATGCTGAAAGAATATGCTAAAATAAGAGATAAAGCTCCAGAGTTCAGCAGCACCAGATTTGATGCGAAGGTCAACAACTCAGAGTTTGGTCTGACGATCCAGGATCTGCATCTGTCAGACTCTGCTGTGTACTACTGCGCTCTGCAGCCACAGTGGCAGGAAACACCAGAACCCTGAACAAAAACCTGCAGAGCAACAACTACATAGTACCCCACATTATCCACTGCAGGACATCATGCTCATAGCAGTCATTAAGTTCACCTCTTAATGAGATAATTTTTTTTCCTTTCCATTTTCTAACTGAAGCCAGAATCTTGAGATGAGTTAGAAACGATTTTAATGATCTAATATATAAAGGTATCAGTTGGGATGAGAAGATAAAAAAATCCAGAGATTGACAAAGTAAACTATCAGATTAATTGAAGACACTCATCTCTGTTCAAACAGAAGATCTAATAAGGCTTTTATTTAAAAAGGTTAATTTCTCTGCAGATCCTGATATGCTGAGAGAGAAACTGGGCAGGCAGCAAGACTGGAGGAAAACTCAGAGTCTTTTGAGACACAATATAATGACTTAGTGCAGCTGCCATCTTTATTCTCAGGAGTAAAATATCTCTCATCATAAGAGTGGAAACGCTTGTTTAGTATGCAGCCAAGTGGAAGCAAATACAGAGCAGATCTAAGATGGAACTGAGCCTTGTGCCTCCACATGATAGAGGAGCGCATGTGGACACACAGAAAGCTGCAGATGTCGTCTCCATCAACCTTTCACTTCATTTTCAACATTACGAAACATCTGGCAGTGAAATGCTGAGAGCGAGACAGAGAGCTTCAGGGAGGAGCTGATCTGATCCTGATCTCTAAAGAGACTCAAACTTCCTCCTTCAGTTCAGTTCAACTCTCCACATCAACTCTGCTCATCATGGACTATTATGGTCTGTCTCTGCTCATCGCCTCTCTGCTAACAGGTCAGGTTGATTCTGATATACAAATGTTGCATTCAGAGGATTATGATTTCCTTTCATTGTACTAAATTAAAGGAACAATTATTTTCCTTATAGGTGTCAACTGCCAACATCTTAATGCACATGTGGATGAAAAGTTCAGCCTGGAAGGCAGCTCTGTTACGCTGTCCTACAATTACTCCAAAAAAACAGCTGCAGATGACTATTTTTTCTGGTATCGACAAAATCCAGGAGAAAAGCCAGAGTTTCTGATCTCTCGCTCTGGAGCTGGAACGCTAATCTTAAAGTCAGAATCTCAAATGGATTTTAAAGTGAGTGACTTAAATCAAGTTCATCTGCTGATCTCCTCTGCTGCAGTGACAGACTCTGCTGTGTACTACTGCGCTGTGAGGCCCACAGTGACAGGAAACACCAGAACCCTGAACAAAAACCTGCAGTACTGCACAGCAGCCACTAGAGGGCCTCACTCTCTGTTAACCACTAAAACCTGCAGTACTGCACAGCAGCCACTAGGGCCTCACTCTCTGTTAACCCACTAAAACCTGCAGTACTGCACAGCAGCCACTAGACGGCCTCACTCTCTGTTAACCCACTAAAACCTGCAGTACTGCACAGCAGCCACTAGAGGGCCTCACTCCCTGTTAAACCACTAAACCTGCAGTACTGCACAAAAGCCACTAGAGGG